ACGAAGGATAAGACTTTGAACCTTGGTCCAAGGACCCACGGAAAAAAACAATTAGTCGTCAGTCACTCAATGGTCGGCGAAACTTCACATATGAGTTGCACAACTTCCGAAACATTGCTCAAATCAGAACTTTCATGTATGTACACTAAAGCCAAAGTGCTCCTCAGTAAACTTACCGAACTTCGTCTATGTCAGGTTGCCAATGCTTGGGACCTAAGTTTTATTACCGAAACTTGGTTGCACCAAGAGGTGATGGATGCTGAGGTTGATAGCAGAAATGTCACTCATCCGGGACTTCCGACCTAGCAGAGGAGTTGTGGTCCTTCTCTACTGCCGCAGCGACCTGCAACCTGTTATAGTTGATGAGCTGGAAATGCACGTTACCGGCTCACTTTGTTGAACTATTTGATTAAGACAAAACGACGCATGTCTCGTGGCTGTTGTTTACTACCTCCCCCCAAAGTTCACTCCGGAAATGGATTCCTGCTTGATACCAGTCCTGTGCACGCACCAAGTACAGCCACATTCTCATCTCCAGGGACTTCAATCTACACGATCGGGAAATCCCGGCATTACCCGTTGAACAGTTCAAAGCAGACTTGCTTGAACTGATCGATAATATTCCCTCGTATGATCATGTCGGCTGCTCTGCCAAACTACCTCCTCTTGGTGCCAGCTGGGTGATTCGGGTGTAACCCGTTCTAATGGAGTGTTCGGCGACAGTTTTCCACCTCTGTGGGGCATCCTATTCCAGCAATGGTGCTGATTTCATGGAGAGTATTGGGTTCCTGATTGTTGCTCTGCCGAAAGAAGGACGCGTAAACTGAACATTCCTTCAGCTACTTCCAATGAACGAGATTCACGGAATTCGCCCCGCTGCCTTGCAGGTACGTTATTTAGCCAAAGGCTCGGAGTGGGGTCCCTTACACAATTATGTACTACGGCTTGGGCAACCGGGTAGTATCACGTCCTCTCACAAAACCATGGACTGAACTACGATATGCTCAGCAGCTACAGTTTCTGCTCCTCACGTGCACGCGAGTTCAGCACACACCAATTGTTTCTTTACTAACAATCCTCACTATACGTTACCCGATTCATGTGTTCAAAAATTTGACTGCGATTCCGGTTGCGCCGCGAACCAAGGAGTACAACCTATGGCTCTCCTTCGTCCCCGATCCTCGTTCCGTCTGGTGTGCTTCAAGGTTTGGACACTCATGTAGATTGGAAAGCAAGCCGGTCTAGCGCGAACCCTAAATTCCCTCGATATTGATGTCTGCTGCCTTTTAGAAAAGCGACTACAAGATCACAGCACTGTGCTTACATTGAAACCCCCCACTGACCACGAAGCCAGATATCACCCGCGTCTTTCTGGAGATCCAGTAGCAGCCTCAGCGAGTTTGGCTGGTGTAGGTATAACACTAAATGGCAAGGCCGAGACAGCAATACTGAACCGGTTCCCGATTAACAGCCGAATGTGTGCAGTTCTGCTTCGGGGTTCATGTAGAATCAACAGGCGCTGCGAGGAGAGACACGACTTATTTGTGATCTCCGTGTACGCTCCAACCGACTGCACTGGTGGCTGGGTCACGGACGAATACTACCGGGATCTACGTCAGCTTTTGACTATTGCTAAAATGTCGGATGTCGTTATTCTTGTTGGGGGTTTTAATGCACGGTTTGGCCGCCTGTTACCATACAAACGCCACCTTGGTGGTCACCACGCGCTCGATGAGAAGCGCTTTGATAACGGAGAGAGGCTTCTCACATTGTGCGAAGACAACCAGCTGTTTCCCTCTAGCAGTAACTTCAGGCGTACGAAGAAGCGTTCGTAACGTGGCGTCCCCCTTCTTCAACACAATCGTGATCTCAAATCGATCCCATTGAAAGCAACTTTAGATGGCGTGGCAGCTTACTGCACTGCAAGTCCTTCTGGTCCACCTTCGTTGACTCAGATAATGCACTGGTCTGCGCGAAATTCCGCGTGTGTTTTGGAGGGTTCCGAAACACAAAGCACCGGAAGATTCATGTAAACAGATTAACTGATTCCTCTGTCGAGGCGAGCTATCAGCCTTCAGTAGCGTATGCACTCAGTTGTAATCCACCGCAAGACGTTTAGCAACACCGGAATTGTACACAGAAAGCGGGGACCATTTCCGGACAGTTAAGAGGCGGCCTACTTCTACCCTCCTTAAAATCTTGTATCTCGACTCTTTCTCTGGAGCTTTGTGAAAGCCACAAAGATATCTCGGCGGAATCAGATTGCAACGAGCGGTGCCGTTTTGCGAACTGGCTGCTCAACCAAATGCTGCGCAATGATAACCAGGCTTGGTGGTCTGAGCGTGCTGTAGTGATGGAGACCGCTGCACTTTCTGTCAACACCCGCAGGCTTTTCCAACTCATTCGGTCCACTGGCCTCAGGAAGCCTGCTGTCAGTGAGGATGTTTGCGAGGTGGATGAGTCTCCGATCACTAAGTAACAGACGCGTATGGATGCTGGGCCAAGTATTTTCACTCACGGTTCAACGGACCTCCGCTGGTTATCAGTACATGCAGTACACGTTGTTGTGTACCCTGGCTCGTCCCCCTAAATCCACCCATCGAAACGGAAGTCTGCCTTGAGATTCGACGCTTGAAGCGCTTCAAACCTGCAGGCTCAGAAGGACTTCCTGCGGATCTGTTCAACTACGGCGGTTTGGCGATCATTAACCACCTGACCGCGCTTTTCGCAAAATTCTGGCATGAAGAGAAAGTGCCTTCCTCTTGGGGTGAATCAGTTATTGTCCCTATTTTCAAGAAAGGTGCTCGCAATTCTTGTGTAAATCATTGCGAGATTAGTCTTATTTCGGTTGCCTCTAAGCTATTGGCATCCATTCTGCTCCGTAGACTATCCCCCATACGTAAATCCTGCCACCGTGAAGAACAAGCTGGTTTCCGTCCTGGTCGCGGATGCGTGGATCAAATCTTCGCGCTCCGCTAGCTCCACGAACATCGCCACAGTTATCACAGTCTCACTATCGTTGCATTCCTAGACGCCGTTGATCGACCTGCATTATGGCGTTGCGTGCTAAAGAACGGGGTGCCAGAGAAATATACCGCCATCTTACGAGCACCATACCTTCATACATTTGACAGAGTGAGGGTCTATGGTAAGCTTTCCTCACAATTCGCTATCAATAGCGGTGTGCGACAGGGCTGCCCTATGTCCCCATTCGTCTTCAACTTCGCAATCGAAGACATCCTGTCGAATGCTCTGGAAGGTTTCCGACATTTTGGCCTAGAGCTTCTACCTGGTGGGCGCGCGACCGATTAGATTATGCTAATGATGTTGCCTTACTTGGAAACGACCCTCAGGGTATGCAACTCATTCTCGATCGTTTGGCGGTTGAAGCATCTAAGTATGGCATAACTATGAGTGACAGAAAGCCAAAGTAAGCGATTATCGTTAATCAGGAGTGAAGGCAATCATTAGGCTAACCACCAAGCTCATGTGCATGGGCTTTAAGTTACCGAACTGACTACCAGGATATCTGTAAATGGACAGCCTCGAGAGCTTTTGAACTGACGTTGGATTGCAATTTTAAATGTGTCTGCTGTGCAATCCGTGGGTGAATAATCCGCACCTGCTAAATCAGCGGCTGGATGATCGTACTGTGGATTTTGGCCGAATCAGGCTGAGCAAGCTGTCAACCTGGATCTAATCGAGTTGTGTAGCCTCTGCATGTAAGATTAACGCAAACCCAACGATGACATGACTAGCGGCTTCGGCAGTTGCCCTTCCGGTTAAGCGCAATATGAAAATGCCGATGGAGATTTCAGACGGTGAAACTAGTGGTATCATTGTGCTGCAGTCATGCGATCGGAACTCAAGTCAAGGTTTCTTGAGTAAGATCAACCGCTTCCTGTAACCCATCAACAACAAGGTAGGAGCACCGAAGACAGACAAGTTGACCCGGCGACGGAGTGATAGTAAAAGTTTAATGAAGCAATCGGGTGCGTGCACTCGATACCTAATCGCTCGTTCATACCAAACACGGCGCAGTACTGTAAACGAGGGAACCGAGTGAAGTTGCCCAAGCTAGGTAAGGTGGTTTATGGTGCGGCAGAAGGTGATTCATCACCCGCACCTGCGGGCCTCTCAGTCGGTGATGGTGTCATTGGTTAAAAAATTGAAGCGGAAGGAGGTTGAAGCACTGGCCCCTAGGTCTAGTGTGTATAGAGCTTCCTGGTTCCTCTGATAGAAAAAGTGGGTTGGCTTAGCGAACCGCACTCCAAGCCTAAAAGTGTAAAGCCATAACCTGCAGTACACCGTATGAATAAAATGTATCAAGAATTGTTGACAACCGGCTGCAAACGTCTGGATAGGTAGGATTTCCAGTGGCGCCAACTAACGAAGTGCTGTCGAAGTACCCTCTAATGGTAATCAGTAGATCAAGGTAATGTATCCGGAGTCAGCGAACAGCCTGCCATATTAGGGTTGTCCACAGTCAGGAAGCACATACGCTTTCCTAATAGATGCAACAAACACCTCATTGTACATGATCAGTCACACGAACTAGCAATACATCGATCACGGGTTAATCGGAACCGTGCGTCGGAATGGCAAGGCGGCTGTCCAGGAAGAAGTCGGTGGCCACAGTGGTTATCCACGCGCCCTCAGTTATGTACCATCTGAGCTAGCAGTGACATTGTAGCTTGATAAATTAAGCTCGCTACAGCACAGCACATTACCACACTGTGACACGACAAAGGCAATTACTCTTGAGGACATTGTTGATGTTTCATCTCGCATGCCAAACAGAGTAACCTTTCTCAAATTACCACTAAAATGGATGCATTCGTGCTTTGCAACCTGACGACGCGTCGAGGAGCGTTCAGCTCCGATGCACTGTACTGCTAAAGATCTATGAAGTGCACATAAGCATATAGAGGTTAACAAAACTGAGTCGGAACATGAATATACATAAGTAAAATAAACACATTTAGAGTTAGGTAGCGCACCTTTTTCAGCGATTCGTTCTCGCTCTTGAGAGAATTTACCGTGGAAGTGAGATACTCTTGGGAGTACTGTTTTCAAAACAGAATGAGAAATAGGACAAATTTTCAACAGATCAAATAAGTGGGACTCAATTCACGAGGTATGTTCACATATTTTGTTGAAGTAAGCTCACACAGAATGTGCTTAGCCTACGTTTCTACATTTCATTGTTATACTGAGTATGAAGCACAGTGAAAAAATTTCGTAGCATTTAGTGCTCCTGGGGATGTGACCGTCTATCCAATATGAGCTGGTTAAAATAACGTCTGACTGTAATTGAGCCCACTCCCAACGGCCAGCGAGAACACCACCGTGCGAGACAAGCTGTATTGGAAAACTGACAAAGCTGAGCAACCGGAATGCGAAAGATCAATAGATCAATAAGGCAACCACATGAAAGGAAGTCATGCATGGTGAGCGGTCCAGGTCTGAACGACTGTCGTGCGTGGGTCCAACACAATCACATGACGACACAGCCACGAATCTCAAACTACCTAGCTGTGAACAACGGTGAAGCGCAAGCCCGCCTAACACCTCCCTCCTTTAAACTGAACAGAAGAGCACGTTGCGGTTGAATGACATGCTTTACATCTTGGGTTCACATCAAGTCACTGGCGCACTGGCGCTCTTATTCGCATTGAGTATCTTCGACTTGTACTTAGTTTTATGCTTGGACGACAGGCTCCTCAGAAGGGGCAATTTGAAACCTATCCAGCAAGATGTCCAACAGTGGTGAAGCTTCCCGTTTTTCAGACTTCCCTTGCACTTCATAACGAGGTCTAATATGGTTTACATGTCTAGTGCATTTGATAGAAACCACTTGCATGCTGTACAAAACACTTGAAATCCGTTCAACGACACGGAATCAAGGATGCTCTTCCGTCAGGAAAATTCTTTACCTTCGCACTATCTCCAGGCACGAAATGTCGGGGACATGTTCCATGATGGCGATTTAAAGCCAACTTCGTTTTAACATTCGCTTTCACTTGTGTGTCGATGGCTTCAAAGCATCAAGGAGCATTCTGACACGCCTACCGAGGAACGCTTAGGATGGGGATATGTTTTGTGGTACTGCTGGACCTGGCGTCGTACGGTAAATCTGCAAAAATTTGTCGATGACTTCCTGGATATTTCCCTCTCCTTCCATTTTAAGTAGTGCTCGCTTAAAAGTATCGACAAAGCTTTCGCCCTGCCCGTTTGGCTGTGGATGGTAAGCTGGATTGCGTATCTGTTCGATGCTATGTGAGTTGCAAAAGTCGACAAATTCTTGAGAAGTGAATTGGGAACCATTGTCCGAAACAGTCGTTTCGGGAACACCGAATTCTGAGATAATATGGCGTAGGTGTAACAAAACAGCGGAAGTGGTTGTGTTTCAGTTTTGAAAAATTTCATACTACTTTGAGTAAGCATCGACAATTACCAGCTAGTAGAAACCCTTCAAGGCTCCGGCAAAATCAAAATGAATGCGAGACCGTGGTCCACTTGGAGTTTTCTAAGAATGAAGCTCACATTTGACAGGTTGTTTTGCTACAATAGCGCAGCTGTTACAGCAACAAACCACATTTTCAATATCCTTGTGCATGAATGGCCAGTAGGCATAACTGCTGGCTATGGATGTCATTCGATTGTTTCCCCGGGTGACCTTCGTGAAACTGACTGAGAATTTTCTTCTGTAGAACCTTAGGAATCACAACTCGGTCAGGTAACATCAAGCAACCATTAATGGTGGTTAAGGAGAAATTCTCTTTACGAAACTGTTCAGCATAGCTGTCCAAAGGGCGTGCAGGCTAAACACTGATAACGTACCCATAATTCGTTGTAACAGGGGATCTCTTGCTCTTTCTATTCTAACTGCGTCTGCTGTTACTAAAAGTGGACGTACAGATGTTTGAAATACTTGTCTAATCTCGGAATATAAGGTAATGCTGGACACTACCAAGTCTTCAGCCGGTGTATTGGACGTGCAGTCGACAATCAGTCTGCATAATGCGTAAACATGACCAAGCGAATAGGTATCTTTAAAACACAAATCGAAATCGTACGTTAATAGGGTGACTGCCCAACGCTGTAATCAGTTTGGCGTGTGAACGGGGATTTCTCGTTTGGTGCCAAAAATAGATAACAAAGGTTTATGGTCTGTGTGCAAAGTAAATTTGCGTCCATGTGCTACCTTAAGAAAAGTCCTAAACTCAAAAGTGAGCGCTAGTCCTTCTTCCTCTAGTTGACTGGTTCTTTTCTGCTTCCGTCAACGCGCAGGAAGCATGCATCACAGCCGTTTGATGTCCACTCGGGAACTGATTCAACAAGACACCACGGATACCGTTTTGCGATGTGTCAGCAGCGACAATTACTGGTAATCATGGGTTGCAATGAGTTAAAAGCAGATCGGAGGACAGTATTTGTTTTATGTCATCAAAGGTTTTCTGGCACTGCGACGACCAATGTCCCACTGACTCGTTTGTCAAAAGTGCAGTTAATGGAGCCCGGAGTTAGTGCATCTGATGGACAAAGTTGTGATAATAGTTAACTAGACCCAAGAAAGATTGCAAAGTAGCTGTGTTCATGGAGTATGGTATTAAATTGATAACTTTTATTTTTTTGGGTCTGGCCGAAGACCGGAACTGTCAATAACGGAGTCAAGCTATGTGATACTGGGCAGCATGAGCTCGCATTTTTCTGGACGTACATGAAATTCATATGAATCTATCCTGGAGAATGATTTGTTCAAGTGGGTGTAATGATCTTCAGTTGTGGAGCTTACAATTAGTAGATCATCCAAATAAGCTATGACACACTGTAATCCGGATAGCATAGCGTCCATCACTTGTTGAAAGATCGCTGGAGCACATTTTCCGCCGAAAGGTACCCGATTGTAACGATACAAGCCTCGAGGAGTATAAATAATGTGCAGTTCTTTCGAGCGCTCCTCGACCACTACTTTCAAGTATGGCTCAGAAAGATCAATTTAAGAAAAGAGTTTTCCTCCGTTAAGCTTTGTGAATAAATCCTCCGGAACAGGTAAGGGATATTGATGATTTTCCAGTGCGTTATTTATCCGGTAGAAGAATCAGCACAAATATGCAAACTACCGTTAGCCTTTATGATAACTACAATAGGAGCGACCCACACTGAGTAGCTTACAGAATTGATGACGCCTACGGACTCCAGTCGACTAATTTCGGCATCCACACCCTCAACGGCAGCGTATGGTACTGGTGTTTTGGGACAAACGCTGGACGTACACCGGTACGTGGATACAACACAAGTTTTACCTTAGAACACATTCCAAGACCCTCTATAAAAAGGTCGGGGTACTTAGAGTCGAAATTTGATAAAGCTTTTACATTGTCTTTAAACATTGCTGGTGCAACCGATCACTGAACATCGGTGAGACACATTGAAAAACTATCTGGATTATCACAAATACTGCGCAAAGGTAGGCTCCATAAATTTTGTCTATTCAATCTATGCCTAACAAATTCAAATGTCCATAACGTGTAACGCAATAAACACCATTAGCATGCAAATCACGAAGTACAAACTCACAATTGAACTGTTCAAAAAAGGGTACTTCCGAGCCGGATGCGTCGTGAGCGACGTGGAAGTTTGAATACATGCGGGTTTATAGAGTTTGCTCCATGTCGAATCAGGGATTATTGTAATATCAGAAGCCGTGTCCACTTGAAGCCGGACAGAAACACCGTTTGTCACAATTGTAACACACTTAGGTATTGACTGCTAGTTCGGGCTAGTAGTTGCAAACACAAAAGTTGAAACGTAATCTTGAAAAATTGGAGTTTTGGCGAAGGATCGTGACGATCTTACAGAGGCTTCCTGTAAACATCTGGTTTCCTGATGTCCCCTTTTCCCACAACGCTTGCAAATATATCGTCTGAATTCACAAAATCGAGCGAAATGCCACTGGCCAGAATGCCAACAAGCACTAGTCGGACGGCCTCGGCGTGAGAAGTCGGAGTGATCTACTGAATTGTGCGTTGGTCTGGGGCGTATAGGAATAGTATGAATATCCACCACACAAGACTCGCTGTGCAGTTGGATCATTTCTGTGTCATGCCTCTGTATCAACATACATTCACATTCCTGTTCCAGCTCATGTAGTGAAACTTCTAAATCGGACACCAACCGAGATAACAAGTTCGAATCTCCGCATCTTTTGGAGAAGGTAATCCACAAACAAAAATGAGCGTTTTCAACTGATCACCTGTGAGTGTGCTAAGCTGAAAGGATTAACATTCCCTGTTAAAAATAGCTGCATAAGTAACAAAATCCTCCTCCTGATGTTTAACAACTTGAAAACAACGGAAACGTGTGTTGAAAAGTGAAGATTTAGGACCTAAAATTCGGGTCAATTGTTTCACGGTGTCGTCCAATGAGATATCACGTGAGTTATTGGGAAAAATGTAATTAGCGTACTTTTCATACTATTGTGAGCCCAATTTCCTCAAAATAAGTACTACATAATCTGCATCGCCTAGCTCACACCTATCAATTTGTAAGAAGTTTTCATAGCGACGGAACCATGCTTCGAAATTGAGGTCATTGTCCGACTGGTGATGAAATTCTGCCATGCTGTGCGCCAGCTTGTCTGCAGTGGAAATCTTTGCATCCCTAGATGCTGACTGTAACGTGATTCGTGTTGTCAATGTTTCAATTAAGCGCTGATGTGACGCCTCAAACTTTGCTTGCTGTCTGGACAGCAATTCTTTAAGAAATTCCAAAGGGACCGTCATAATTCCCGTCGCCAATCTATTATAACGTCTAACTATAACTGAACGCACTTTGAACGGGAGGCAAGGACACCATCTTGCGAGACAAGCTGTATTGAAAAACTAACACAACTGAGCAACCGGGATGCAAAAAATCAATGAACAATGAGTTATCACAGGTAAAACGCATGTGCTTGACAAGTCCAGTAGGATGGTTGGAGTAAAAATTAAAATTCGAAGGATCATCGAATAAGTAAATCGTTATTGCAAGCATCCAGCGAGTTAAATGCACTACTGCATAACGACAGTTTGAAGTGGAAATGGGATGTGCACATGCAAAATAGTGTAGATAGCTGTTATAATTTAGTAAGTGCGTGAGAAATAAAAAAGGAAACGAACGCTCACTCGTTTGTTTCTCCATTTGACCTAGGTGGTATGTTAATCCAGTTTAGGTACATCGGTTAATCACCTGGACACTTATGCATGTATCCTCAACGCCACATGAAAGGAAGCCATGAATTCTGAGCCTTCTAGGTTTGAGCGACTGTCGTGCTTATGTCCAACACAATCGCATAATAAGACAGTCACGAATGGGCTAGCTTGTCAAACAACCTCCTCGTGGTGCCAGCCGGGTGGTTCGGGGTTATCCCGTTCCAGCGAATGTTTCGGCGTCACTGTTCCGGGACTTGGTGGGTTTTCGCCTTGCAAACTGTCTGCCTATAAAAAGCCACATATGTCCGTTTAAAAACACTACAATATGGTGGATGTGATTCGTCACTAAATAAAGTCACTGCCCCTTCCTTTGAGCGGCACTGTAATTCAGTGGTGTGTTGGCCCCTGATCCCATGCGGTTCTAAATGCGTATGAACCACTTGCTTGGTCAACGGTTCCAAACGGGTTAGCATACCCTCATATCGCCCTGCTGCGTCGTAGGAGGTTGCATCATCCTGGAGTGAGTCGGTAGTCGTCCTCATCTTCAATTTGGGCCGGCGCCTAAATTGCACCAAGTTTGGTTCCTGTCGTTTGGAAGATTCTGGTGTCCATCATACTTCGCAGGCTATCCCCAATGCGTGAATCAATACAGCGAGAAGAACAGGCTGGGTTCCGCCCTGGTCACCGCTGCATTGATCATAATTTTACACTCCGCCAGATTCTCGAGCTTCGCCATGTGTATCAAAAGCCAACGATTGTTGTGCTGCCTTCGATTCTGTCGACAGGGCTGCAATGTGGGATTGTCTGTTGAGGATTGGTATTCCCGGGAATTTCTTTTCCATGTTGCGTGCTCTGTATAGTCTGACGTAAGACAGAGTTAGGGTACATGACAAGCTTTCGCCTTCCTTTGTTGCCACCAGTGCGGTTCGACAAGGATGCCCCATCTCTTTATTACTATTCAACTTTGCCACTGAGGATATCCTCAAAAGTGCTGTAGAAGACATCTTGAACTCTGGCGTTGAGCTCCTCCCAGGTAGTCGGGTAGTTGTTATGGATTAGGCTGATGATATCATCTTGTTGGATGACGGTCCACAGGCCGTCCAAGTTGCACCTAACCGCTTAGAAATTGAAGAGTCGAAGTATGGCATGCACTTTTCACCATCAAAGTGTGAAGCACTTTTCCACGGCTAGTATACGCCCCTACCTACACTCACCATCGATATGGAAACGTTAGAAGTAGTACAGTTTTGTCTACCTGGGAAACTGCATAACTACTGGTGGGGCTGTTCGACACGAGATTTCGATGCGTATGTCAAGAGCTCTTCTAGCCTTCTCCAGGCTGAGGCATTTATGATGCCGCCATGACATCCGCTTCTCCATAAAAGAACGGGTTTATGGTGCTACAGTCTGCGTTGTATTGTTGTAGGTTTACGAGACTTGTCCTGCTCGTACCGATGACCTACGTCGACTGTCTGACTTCGAGAACTGTTGCTTGCGGTCCATCGCCCGTGTGTGGTGGCTGGACCATGTAAATAACGCTGAAGTCAGACAGTGTGTCTTGAGTGGAGACAGCCACTCCCTTGAGGCGCTTGTCTCGCTGCGCCCACTACGATGGCTCATACACGTGCTGCGTATGTCCGCTCAGCGTCTTTTGCATCTTGCCTTGTTCGCGGTCGCTGGACAGGGTTAGAGGAGACGGTGTGATTGACAGTCTACAACTTGGAGAAACAGGATGAAAAAGCTGACGAAAGAGTTGACCATGGTTGGTTTCTCCCGAATCCTTGGATGGGATCCCAAAGATGTTGAGTGTATTTGGTTGGAAATGTTGGAAGTCATGACTCGATACCGAACTTAGTAGCGAGTGTGTATCTATGCTTGTTGCGGTGATTCCCCTTCCCTCCTCACATAAAATACAAATGAAATCAATAATTGTGAGTGGAATCATGGACAAAATAATTGTTTGTTTTCTTTCTTCTTTTACTCTAACCCTGTTTTCCTATTCTGCAATGGTTCAGATGAGAAAATCTCTACACAGATTGTGAGATATAAATATATATATATATATATCGCCACGAAGGTCAAACTATCTATCCGTGAGTGACTGTGAAGCGCAAGCCTGTCCAACACTACTCTAGGTCATTAATTCAGGCCAAATATTAACTAACTACTGATGTTTAGTTTCGATTATTTGATGCCGTGGGTTCAAGGTCGGCATATCAAATATACGTGCAAAACGACGCCGAAAAATGCATCCAAAAGCAAGCAAGCGTTTCACCTCTAACTTACCAATAAATACTCCAAGAGCAGTTGAGCGAGTTGAAAAAGTTTGATAACGTTTGTGTCAACATACTGGACGTCCTGTATAAAATGAAAAGGAAGGTAATGATGCCCGTACAGTGGTTTATCGGAAACCAGTCTATATTTTTTGTCGCTTATTTATTAACTTTAAAAGTTGTTAAATTGTGACGTGCTGACGTTAAGCTACTAGTGAAGACTGTTCCCTCTGCCTTTAGCACACACCAATTAAGAAAGACCTCAGGAGACGGCGAAGTAACGTAGTACTACGGTCCGCTTGCCTCGATGATCCTCTGGGTTGACTTGTTTGCAAATTTCATGTATCTTCAGAAGCTGCAAAGATTAAATATAGAGGAACTCAATATGGTTGGAATGACGTCGATGGCCGTCTCACCCCCAAACATAGTCATAGATGGAAATACTACATCTTATAAGCTAAGCCAAATTGTCGCATGACAAGAAAGCAGTGGGTTGTCACTGGACACAGTGGAACGTAACGTTTGGTAAATAGTTGTCTACCTTCCGCTTCAAGCCCGGTAGCCAGCGGTCAATACTGTGCAAATCTCGTATGTGGCTGCTTGTGGTCGCGGCGAGGTGTTCCCACGAAATATGTGAACATCCTTCGTGCTCTATACTCGAACACTAGAGGCCGCGTCAGGGTCTATGGTGCCCTATCGGATAGCTTTTCGACTACAAGTGGCGTTCGACAGGGTTGCCCGATTTCCCCGTTTTTGTTCAATTTCGTCGTGGATTCTATCATGGAGTGTTCCCTTGCGGAATCTCACGATGTAGGCGTTGAAGTGCTGCCTGGTGAACGGTTAGTTGATCTAGATTATGCGGACGATATCGTCTTGCTTTTCGACAACGTCGAGGCGGCACAATCAACCCTGAATAGCCTATCCAGAGTGGTCCCATTATTTGGTATGCACTTCGCACCTTCAAAGTGCAAAGTGTTGCTGCAGGACCACCAGCCACTCGATGACCCCTTGACGCTTGCTAACGAGGAACTCGATGTGGTTGATCAATTCACTTATCTTGGCAGCTGCATCAGCAACGATGGGCACATAGAAACTGACGTTAGCTCACGCATTACAAAGGCCAGAGCTGCCTTCTTGAACCTGCGTCATCTTTGGCGACAGAAGGGAGTTTCCCTCCGTCTGAAAGGCCGTGTATACAAGTCCACAGTGAGGGCCGTTCTGCTCTATGGTAGTGAAAATTGGCCCCTTCGGTCTGAAGATCTGAGGCGCCTTCAAGTCTTTGATCATCGTTGTTTGCGAAGCATTGCTGGTGTCGGATGGCACCAGCGTGTCCGCAACGATGATGTGCGTAGGCGAGTACTAGGGGGTGATGATCATGCTAGCTCCCTAGAACAACAGATAGCACTGAATAAGTTACGTTGGCTCGGGCACGTGCTACGCATGCCTGGTCACCGCTTACCTAGGAGGGCCTTGTTCAGTCTACCAGGTGTCGGATGGCGCAAGGTTCGAGGTGGACAGAAGTTGACTTGGCAGCGGGAAATGAAGTCACTGACGACCAAACTGGGTGCCGTTGGTCCGTCTCGCCTTCCGGGTTGGAGTCCACGTGACTCACCTTGTGCTTGGCTCGAGACTTTACAGGACATGGCTCGCAGCCGACACCAGTGGCGCGTCTGCTGCCGTCTCCTAATCGGATTGTCTGTTTAAAGTGTGTTTGGTGCTGAGTTATCTGCGGGATAATGGCTGATTATGACGAGTGGCAGTGAAAGCCGCAAGGAAGCTGTCTCGCCGATGCCGCCTTATCTTTGCACGACAGCCAGCTGTTTGTGACGGTATGTTGTTAACACAAGGTGTAGGCGCCTTGACCCAGAATGTTTGCTTATGGCATTAAGGTTTTCAGGTAAGTCCCCCTTCTCTCCCTCTTACTATTCTTTATTTCATAGGTCCTCATGGTTGTATGGCAGCGAAGCATCAGTTCAAATGGCTGATGTACTGCTGTTGATGATGATGATGATGTGGTCGCGGGTGCGTTTCTCCCTACGATAAAAGGTGCGTCAATTGTACGATTCCTTAAAGGATATGTCTAGGTCCTTGGAAAGACCCACATAGAACCGTACAATCGAACTGAGGGGCTGGAAAGCACCTCACCGAATTGCAGCTTAGGCCACTTAGCTAAAGCATCCTGCTGAAGTCCTTCAAGCAAAACCGTTTTGTTCACTGTCTTGTCATTAAGTCCTTGAATCTAGGTTTAGATGCATGACACCTAAAAGTAACCTCCATTTCAGAATGGGCAGCTGGATAACGTCTGTTATCTATGAAGCCATATGTGCAGTACCATACCATCCGCTGTTTCTACCCCGGTACAATTGCATCCTCTTCTCAGGAGAATGATCGAGATACTGAAGTTGAGCTAAAAGCTGCTATCGGTGACGCAATCAAACCTTTTAGAAAACATGTCTCACTTCACATTTATTCGTAGGCTAGAGGTAATGAGCTTGGTTCCAAATTTTGCGGCGCGTGTTCTAGTCTGCGTAGAGGCAGCGCCATCCTCGCAATATTTTTAAGCCCTGTGCAACCGGTGGTGGCTGCGCGGCTGCTTACCGACGTACTACTGGTGCCCTTTATTCGTTCCGCGTCCTAAATATAAGCCGGGTCGGTCAACAGGCAGTCCGGACTCGCACTCGTCACACTCATGGAATCGACGCGTCCTATTACCTATATAACATAACAGCTTCGCAAACAATTTTTCTTTAGTTGGTTCAGAATCGGTCAAAATTGATCAGCCACTTTATATTTCTTGTGATATCGACTAGATGGGTCGAAATATTTACTCTGTTGATATTACACCCAGATGAACTGATGCGAGATATTAAAATCATTTTCAATCTCAAAATTGGTTTTGGACGCCGATGACCTTGTCTCACCAATGCGATTCTTGCTCCCGACTCATGGACCAGGATGGTTGACAAATGAGTCCCCTGAGATGGGTTGCATCTAGACTTTTCTAAGACATCCGACAAAGTGACATATATTGCTACTTCAAAAGCTTTGTGCCCATGGTGTTAACACTTTCCAACTCTCGTGGGGAAGTTACCTAAACGATATAGCAATCAAGCGAAGAATTGTCAACACCAACCCTGCAAACCTGTGCGGATCCAGTGGTGTGCCACAAGAAGCCGTCCTCCAACTGCTATTGCTTTTAGTCTATATCAATTACCTCACAAAAATCATTATATCCCTGATGCAAATAATTGCAGGTGAGGCAAAAATATGAACAGTGATTCGCTCAACATCCGACTGTGCCGATCTCTTAAATGATCTGGGCCGGATTTACAAATAGTCAGAAATGAACCAGCTCCATCTGCTGACACTGTGCAGTGGCTTCAGCAGTGTATATCCTTTGGGGTACCACGTCCTACAACACGTGCCTGGTAAAAGCGACTTAAGTATCTTCCTAGAATAAAATCTGGGTGATTCGGTCCAATGTTCCAGGGCAGCAAATGTGATGAACTTGAGCTTAAGTCCTTTGAGGCAAGCTCTTGATGTCTTGAGCGAGTTTTATACCCCTGCCGATTAACTAGTATATTCGTCCCCAACTTGAGTATTCGGCTCAGGCCTGGCGTCTATGGTTACAACAAGATATTAGTCGCTTTCAGCACCACGACATAAGAGCCATTATGGTACCACATGAACCATCTGGTACCAACCATGAAACGTGCCTTCGTTTAATCGGTATATTGTCCTTAGAATATCTACAGCTTCGCGGAAATCTCATTCTCATAAACCGGATATTGACAAAAATTGATCACCCATGTAAGTCACTGCTGACCATAGCTCCAAACAACCGACACCGAGGCCATGACCTGGAACTAGTAACAACACTTCCGAATGAGTTGCAGACAAATCTTTAAAAATCTATTAGTACCTGTTCACACTGGAATGCAGTGCCAACACATGTGCTGAACGCTGCATTGACCACATCTTCACATTGCGTTAATTGTTGGAGCAATGTTTGGAGCACTGAAAGCGATCTACCGTAATCGTGTTCCTTCACATCAAAAGTGCGTTGGATTCGATTGATCGATGTGCCGTTTGGGATTATCCACTCAGGAAAGGATTGCCCGAGAAATACGTAAATATCATGAGAGCGCTGAAAGCGTATATTTCCGGCAGCTTGAGGGTTTACGGCAAACTATCACCGCCCTTAAAGATCTGCAGCGGGGTGAAACAATATTACCGGTTGTCACCTTTTCTCTTTACCTTCGCCATTGATGAAATCATGGCACGACTTAGAAGGTGTTCAGCTGCTCTCAGGTGACCGACGTTTTGACTTGGAGTATGCCGTCGACATTGCCCTCATACATGACCGCTCCCAATGATGCTAAGCTGCACTGGATACATAATCTCCGGCTGTAAGCCGTTTCGGTCTATGGTCTGACGAAAGATACCTAGGTGGTCAACTCGGCCATGGCATTCGCAGAACTGAAAAGGATGATCAACTACTTCATCTTTGCGCCCATCATGGCCGCTTTCTGTCGAGCACTAGTTTTCGGGGATACTGGCGCGAACACACCACCTGAAGACCCCCGTCACCTGGCCATCCGTGGACACAAATCGACCACATCACCATTATCTATCGCTGGTGGGGCTGCATACAGGATTGCAAATCAATCTGGGGTACCTATCTCACCGGATCATGAGCTGCTGTGTGCCAAGGTTAAGCTACATTTTGGTGGCTCCCAGTAGAGTCGCCAGAAATGGCTTGACGCAACCAAACTTTCTTTCCCGAATGTTCGCCGTGCATTTCAGGATGCCTTGACCTCACGACTGACGACTGCCTCAGGCACAGACATTGCAACACATTGGACACACAACCGGCGCACCATGTGCAACGCTCCAACCATGGTCTGTGGCTTCACCAGTTGTCCTGTCAACCACTGGATCTCTGCACGATCACTATAATTTCTCGAAGCCCGTCCAGCAATTCTTGCGTTAAATACCAGTCACAACGCATGACTTTTAACGCTGAGCGAAGACAGCTTCTCCGGGAATATAGCGAGGCCTGGTGGACGCAGCGGGTCATTGAGATGGGCAATCTGCCCCCTAGGGGAATTTCCGTAAGCTTTTCCTCCTGATCCGATCTGCTGATGGAAAAAGAACGATTATATGCGAAGTTTTATACGAAACCAATGGAGAGGCAATCCATTGTCAAAAACGCCGACTCGAGGGTTAGGCCGAACATTTTGTGTAGTAGTTTAATTGACACTAAGCACCAATAATTTCCCGTTCTGGAGTCCAGAGCGCTACCTAGTGTGTAGATGCTTCACCACCATCCGAGGCTAAAGTTGCCCATGAGCTTCGCCTGTTAAGGCTCTACAAAGCCCCTGGTCAAAATGAACTGTCTCCGGCTTTTTTCAAAGATGGTGGCCCGTCAATATTTCAGGACTTAGCTTCTCTTCTCCAAGAGACCTGGTCCACTGAATTTATCCCAACTGTTTGGAGCCTAGCGGATATCGTGCCTGTCTTCATAAATGGTACCCGAACTGACTGCACCAACCACAGATTGATTAGTCTCATCTGTGTTACTTCCAAGTTTCTCGCAGCTCTGAATTTAAGGAGGCTCAATCTGATACACGAACAGCGCATACGTGAAGAGTAAGCTGGCCTCAACACAGGTCAAAGTTGCATCGACCACATCTTTGCATTCCGTCAAATACTCGAGCGTCGTCAAGCATTGGGCCAGGCATCTTTGTCATAGACATACGAGCCGCGTTCGACTCGGTCGTAAGAGCTGTTCTCTGGACTTGTCTACTGAGAAGAGGAGTGCGGGAGAAGTGTGTCACTTTACTTCAAGTTATCTATTCTCGAACCTCGATCCGAGTGCGGGTGTACGGCAAACTTTTGCCCTCCTTTGGTACCATCAGTGGCGTGAGACAGAGTCGCCCATCTTCCTCCCTCTTGTTTAATTTGCTATGGACGAAATCTTGGAGAGTGCTCTGGAGAACTGCGAAGCCAACAGCGTTAACCTGCTTCGGGGGGATCGACTTCGCGATTTGAACTATGCAGACATCGCTGTAATCTGCGATTCCTCACAGGCTGCCCAAAATATCCAATGCAGGTTGGAGATGTATGTCTCTCAGTTTTGAAAGACCTTCGCACCATAGAAATGCAAGGTCTTTCTGCAGGACTGGCTAAGCACTGCTCCTACGTCAAAGTTAGCCGTGTTCGGGCGCTAACGGCTCCCTGGCTGGAGGTTGAAGGATCCAGAACACGCTTGGCTGGAAACACTCTCGGATATGGCAAGAAATCGTGCGCAATGGCGGAATTGTTGTGACTCTCTACTCTCACGAACACAGGCTATTTTCCTCTCTCTTCGTATATTTATTGTATTTTTCATACTTTTTGGCAATATATTTCGCCCTCGAAGTGCAAAGTCCCTCTCCAAGATGAGCACGGACCTACTCCTGCGCTGACGCTTAGTGGTGCTCAACTAAAGTCGTGAAAAATTCTAGTATGTAAGCTACTATATAAGCGCCCTTGGGATTAAACATGAGACCACTAACCGTATAGCAAACGCTCGTGGCACATTTGCCAATCTCCGCTATTTGTGGCGCCGGCGTAACATCACTCTCTCCAAGAAGGGCAGAGTTTACAATGCACCCGTCCGGTTAGCCTACCTGTACTGTTGCTAAACTTGGCCTATAAAGTCGACAGACATGAAGGGGCTTGTTACGTTTGATCATCGCTGGCTTCGCAGCATAGCTCATGTCTGGCGGGGACACCGCGTGAGCAATGGGTCTGTTCGTTGTCTCGTATTTAGTGCAGTTAAGAGCGCGTGCATCATTATTTCACGCACAAGGCTCCGATGGCTAGGCCACGTGTTGCGGATGCCAGCCCACTGACTTCCTCAAAGTGTGTTTTGCGCGCCGGCGATGTGAATGGAAAAAAGGGGGGACGTCAAGCGATGAGGTGGTCCATAGGAATGAAACCATGATGAATTTGGCGCCGGTTGGTTTTTCCCGACTGCCAGGCTGGGGTCCGAAGGACGATGAACACATTTGCTTGGATACACTAGTTTACATGGTAATGAGCCGCCTTCAATGGCGTTTGTATTGTGCGTATCTATGTCCCTTTACAACAACACTCTCAAACACATATGCTGTTTAGCACTATGATAACATTTTTGCTTTTGTAGTCTGTAATGTTTAAGCTATTCTCTCTATTGTACTGTGGCACATGAGCTGCGGTCTCTTTCTTCAACCTCGGAAAAAGTGTATTGGTGACGATGTCTGCTTAACAAACTTAAGGATATATCAAAGAGGCATTCTTTGTCAAAAGGTAGTTGTAGCACTTTTGGGAAAGGTAGTAATTTGTCCCTGGCAATATGTTCATTCGTGAACTGACTCAGAGTAAGCTGACGCTACTGTTAAGAGGGTAGTGTTATAGCAACAAAAGAGTCAACAATATATAGAGAAATTCTGGTTTCCAGGCACGATGCATCTTCAGAAACACAACTGAAGCTCAACATTACAGTTTCAGGCAAGCAGAAGCGTCTCCGAGAAAACCGCACGTCGACGATCACTTTGAGTTTTAATGATAACTTACTATCTCGCTGGTGATATCACAGAATGCTACAGGAGCCAGCACTTCTTGCAACGTTTCGACGTCCATCTGATTTGCCACCCGGTGCACATCGACGGAAGCTGCAATGGTAGAGCGATAGACGATCGCGGTTTCGCGTTACTATCAGGTATGGCGCGCTTACCTAGACGACGCCAATCTATTTTCTCTACTCTTTTGCGGAAATGGAAGGGATAGTTCATCTGACGGTTAATCGGGTTTTCCATGTTCAGGATCATGACATCGAGATGGGAAGCTAAAAATGATTGATTGCAAAATGGTTAGCAAAGGGTCCATGATCACAGACTTTACATATAGTTGATTTCACACATTATCGTGTGAAGTTTCATTTTTCAATTGAAGTGTTTGAACGGTTTTCGACAAAAGCACTTATTCTTTATCAATTTGGCCAAAGTGGCAGTGTCTGAAGTCCTTTTGATGAGCGTTACCAGCAGATCAAGAGAGCTTGGTTGAAGCCCGGGATTCGAGTCAAATTTAGTTTGTCTGTACCTGGTGAAAAGAACCAAGTATGAAACCGCTTACGGAATTTAGTTTGCCAAACTGGTATTGCCTAATAATTAATGTCTTCAGTGAAGGATATACAGTAAGCTTCTCAAGCCTTCGACTGTGATACAGTCAGTTAATCTGCGGAAGGCCACTGTTTGTTTACCTCAACTGACGGAAGTAATCCATCCATCTTCAAGGCAAAGCGCTATAAGAGTATAACAGGAAGCTTCACGCCATGGAATAGGACAGCCCAGTTCCGGTTCTGTGTCATCGAACATATTTCCCAAGTAAAACCCCGGTGAGCTAAACGTTAAAGTACTGCGGATGGCCAATGTGCGTCCGAACGGATCCAACTGAGGATCGGACCAAGTAATTAGAAAAACTCCCCAACAACCACATATGCAGTAATTTGGCAATATCGAAGTTATCCTTAGGTCAAACATGAAGAAAGGATAACAAACGCTGCCTGTCACTGAGATTGACACGATAGCAGCCTTTTCTCCGATTTCACCCGCGTGGTGCTTCTTATGAGGTCAAAGCGAAGGCGGTGAAGCTAACAACTAGGTACTTGTAATTGGCTTCCACTAAATTATCCGGCTGGCTGGAAGCTTATGTTTGGGTTATTATTATAAACAAATGACTGCTACAATAATAGGGCTTTTGCCACCTTATAAATTCGTTTAAGCTTTCACCCATAACTATTAGTTCCTTGTCATTTTTCCTTACTTTATTTAATATTTTCGAAGTATTAGCTATGGCTATAGAACTCGCTGCACAGAAACATTCTTTGCAAGTATGCCAGGATGGTTTGGACTGTAGAACTGCTGTATCGCCACTGACGCCTTCACCCCACGACTGCAAGAAGAAGTCCAAAGACTAGCCAGAAAGAGACTTGTATACATGAAATCACATTTGCTTATATAGTTTTGAAGGCAAAATAAAGGGGCTATTAAATTACACTTGAGTCAACCAGCAGAAGGAAAAACGTCAAATGCAACGGGCGAATAAGCAACCGTGTACACAAGAGGGAATCGCATATGTCCTTAAAAATAGCATCATGGGAGTCCAAGCCTAAAGCGAACAACCATTTACAGTGACGGGCACTGGCCAAGAAGAATAGCGAAATGTGGCGTTTAAACAGAATGTCACGAAACAACAGAGAATAAGAAGGGCAGACCAAAAAACTAAAAACTAGTACAATAATTGTGTGGCAATTAAATATTCATTTAACATAACCAGGTAGAACAGTGATGAGGAGAAAAACCAATGGAATGTGTTCTTACAATTGGCACTGCTGAAAAGGACACAGAGACGAGCGTCCATTAACAATGACGTGTGTGTACCAATCGGGCTAACACAGTGGAGCGTTTAAACAACGGTCAAGAAGTAGACAAAAAGAAGTATAAAGAATGGTTATTTAACTCGCTCACAAAAATGACTGGCTAATGGTCAATCTCCTAATAAGAAGCATCTATAGTGGTGACTTAAACAGAAAGTGCACACACGTACAATTCGAGCGTACAACCTCTTTTGCTCAACCACGATACTAAGCATAGTGAAAACATCATCAGGGGACTAGATAGTTTTAAAAAGTTTGACTAAAAGCTGAGTATATGATTCTTGAGTGTATGAAAAATTCTGCTCTGGCACCTGGTGGGCATAAGAACAAAGACGTTTTCAGTTATCAAGTACCTAGTTTACCTATAACACGGTTGCTAGCCGAATAAGTAACAAATGTGCCACGCTGCTACTTAACTTCCCACTTGTAATAAACTCTGACAGAATGAAATCCACCATAAATAAACTTATTCTGTAGGTGTGCAAGTACGTTGTTCTTTGTTCGGTTGCATCTAGACATGCTTCAAACATGATCCGTAATTGCACAGTCGCCAGCATGCCACATCAGGTATCTCAGCTCGTTAAAAACAAAACACGTTTCCTCATATAGGAGTATTACATCCCATCTAATCTTGAACGGGGTTACCGGCTGTGCCTGTGTTTTCAGGTGGATGCTCTGGTTTTCCTTCGGCCTCTATTCTTAAAACATGAAGCGCTCATCAAAGTAATGAATGCTGTTATGATTTTAATCAGTTATCTAATGGCCGTTCATTAAGATCGTCGCATAAAATGAACCGTCCCCTAGCCCAAAGGTAACAAGCTTGTCCTGTCATCTGACGGCGCGGGTTCTAGCCTGCTTAGTGGCAGGGCAACCCTCGCAGTATCCTGGCCCACGTGCGACTAGTGGTGGTTGAGTGGCAGCGAAGCGTCGGTACTGCGTATCGACGTACTTCCGATGTCCTTTTTCGCATAAAAAGACAGCGGAAAAATGCTTACTCTACTTTATATAGCATGCGGGTGATCATTGCTGAACTTTAATGGCAGGCGGAGCATTTCGGCGATAATAACTGTTGGTTAACTCAGCCAAGACCTATCTGATAATAACGTGTTAAAAGTGCAGTACTACAAAGCTAGGAGCGATAAGAACCCATGGATTCATGTAACTTGTCAGCCTGAACGGTCATAAGCCAAAACAAAGCGACGCACTCTGTTACCCCGCAACTACATACCTGGCAATCTGAGTAAACACTGTGGTCGAATTAGGCATGTAAGAAACAGGTATCAATAAATGTTAGCCCTGCTGTGTAAATAGATACACCTATCTCTTCTGTTAGCCCGCAACACTGGTGGAGCTTCGCGTTGAATAAACATGAACATAACCGTGGTTTACGGGCATTCGTGAAGGAAGACGCTGTAATTTAAACTGAAGAAAGCCACATGCGGTTTTGCTATACACAGTCCTGACCCAGAAAACGCATCACCAATCAATGTGATTTTCTCGCCCACAACACCAAAGAGCCAAAGTTTGCCACCTGGAAGCGTCCTGACTCTACTGTCGCAAGATCTTAAGGTGCTTTCAGCGAGTTTAAGGAAACATGCATGTTCGAAATGCTGTTAAACTACTGATGACAGGAAAGTAGGTGTAGTACTATTACACGTACGCAGCACCTTCCCCCTTACCGGTTGGCGTGCTATTTCAATAGTACGGTTTGTTTTTGAACGCTGTATTAATTTATGAGCGCTTTCCAATTTAAAAATATAAAGCCACAATATATCGTTAGACAAGCTAAACGCAGGTTGCTAAACTATGTTTAACTTAGGTACTCGCTGAACTAAATTTAATCATACGATACTTCACGTATGTACTGTTAGACTTAAAATACGGACGGTATCCAACGGAGTGGTGGCCCTGACACAAATCTGATGAAGATGGGAAAACAAAATCCCCGTACGAAGGCTGAGTCCCCTATTTGAAACAGCCCGAATCAATAAGGCCTTGCGCCCACACAAAGTGAAAATAGACCGAAGTGGTGTTCACACGATAAGAAGCAACATAAGTGCGTACTCGGAAACGCATTAAAGATTTTAATCGGGTGAACAATTGTTCGAAGTGCACCATCCGAACTAATGATCGATCGACAATTGGAATTTTGTTTGTCGTTGGTAACGCATAGCTCACAAGGAGGCTTGGGTTGTCAGTGCTTCGATTGCGAAGTAAAGTAATACAAAGTCACTCCAACTTACTGCTTGTTCCTTAGACCTTTTGCCTAGTAGACCATATGATCCTAACCGAAGAAGAGCCAAATATTAGTTCTCGTAGCCCTAGGATGAGTTCAGATTGCTACAATATTAATGGTAGTAAGTCAAGAGCCTGCACCTGAAACACATGTTGGACATTTTGATAAGTGGCAGACTCGCAGGGCAATCAGAATACGTATCTAATGCTCCTTGATATGGCTGGGCTAACCATAGCATTGAACTTATACTCTATTGACCGATTTAATGACCATACATTCCATGTCCTCACTGTAGTTTGGTTGCTTTTGAAAGTTCAAATCACTAAAATTAAAGCGCATGCAAAGTTGCTTCCCCCACGAAGTGGTCCTTGATCTACGAACTGACGAAGATGCAGACACAAGTACATGGAAAAATAAGTAAGAGAGTAAAGGATATAACAAACTTACCCAAGAAGCAAAATGGTAAGTAAAGTGTAAACTTTAAGGTCATGCAAGAACACACTAAGGATTATTAGACTAGATTTGTTTATGAGACTTGTGTTAGAGGTCTATATCTTTTACTAAGTAAGTGTAAACATACACACAAGTTTGTATTCTTATGACGCTTTTTTCATATATGAAGTTATACACTAACAGCCAATGCACACGGATAATATTACATGCTTAGTAAGAGGAAGATGGTCAGTAATTTTTACTTGGCGAGAAAATTGTGCTAAGCGAAACCCTGAGGAAGAAACGTCGCAACGTTCTAACAAATACCTAGCATCATCATCATTAAACACTAGCTGAAATCGAGAAGCACACCAACCATTTTGCAGCAATAACAATATGATAAGTTACATGAAAATACATATTAAACGTTATAGAAGACAAAAAGCAGGTCAAACGCTGCTTAGCTGGATCTTATGATCCAAGAGATCGTGGCTGGGAGGAAGATAAACAGGATGAGCGGAGAAAAACGAGAGGTACAGCACAAACTCCACTGAGGTCGGTTCCTCTCTATGCAAATTAGTCTATCTAACCAGGCGCGTACAACATCTTTCGGACCCCAGCCCCGCAGTCGGGAGACACCAATCAAGTTCGAGGTGAGGGCCTTCAGTCCGCTTGACCAAGTCATCTTTTAGTCGCCCCTCCTCTTTTTCCCTCCACACCCAGCTGCGCAAACAACGCGTCGC